TGTTGCTGCAGGAGGGCCTTTGCAGAACCACAGAACCATTTAGGTTGGAAAAGACCTCCAAGATCATCAAGTCCAACCTCTGAGTGATCACCACGTTGTCAACCAGAGCAGAGCACTGAGTGCCACGTCCTGTTATTTTATGTCCTTGCTCAGGGACATCCCACACCTTCCCTGTGCAGCTCCCTCGGGCTCTGTGGGCACAGGCCAGAGGCTCAGAGCCCCCCTGCCCCAATGGATGCTGCTGTGCCCTGAGCCCCCCTGCACCCCTGCCTCCCCGCCTGCCACGCTGCTCAGCAATCCCCACAGCCTCCCAAGGATGTTTGGCTGCTCTGGCTTTGATGTGTGGATTAATGAGAACTGACAGCGCTGGAGCAGAGCCCTCAGAAGCCCAAAGGCAGGGCCCGGGGCAAGACTGGAGGGGACGAGGCTCTCTGAGCGCTCCCTTTGACTGCTCCGTGCTCTGGCCAGGGGCTGTGGCTTTGGGGATGGTGACAGGCACGGCCAGGGCTGGTGGCTGGTGGCACCTGGCTGTGCCAGAGCCCCGGCTGGTCCCGCTGGGCACCGCACTGGGCTCGCAGCCGGCACAGCCACCCGGGCACACGCTGCTGTCCCGGCCAGGATGGCCCTGGGGAGGCACCCGAGGTGCTCCCCTGCACTGCCCAGCACGGCACAGCAGCAGCACAGGCTGGAGATCCACAAGGGATGCGCTGTTCCCACGGCCCCTGCCCGGAGTGGGACTCTCCTCCAGGCTGTGGCCCTCGAGCAGGGCTGGGCTTGGCCAATGTCCCGGCACGGCTCCAGGAGAGAAAACAACCCCATCACCGTGCACGCACCCCCGAGAGCTGCTGCAGGGAATAAACTCCCTCCTAATCCTCTAACTGAACAACCTGCAGGCATAAACCGCGCTGGGATCCCAACAGGAGCACAGCCAGGGGCGAGGAGCTGTTTGTGCTGAGTGGGAGGAGGGAGGATGAGGAAGGCTGCAGGCAGGAGTTCTCATTCCTGCTGCACTGGGATCCCTGCTGCCAGCACTGCTCCCAGGTCCCACATCGATGTCCCCATCAGAAGAGGGTCCCACGAGGGATGGGCAGAGCCCTGGATGATGCAGCACTCAGCGCTGGGTCCTCTTTGCCTTCAGCCCTTTAGGAAGAAATCCATTAGCTGCTAATTACACACGGGCCAGAACTCTGCTGGGTTATTATGGCTGTAAAGCACTCCACAATTATAATCTGGAATTCATGCTGTAGGGTGCTTACTGGGGGAACACCACCTGATTTACAGCAGGGCAGCAAGCTGGAGCGGAGCTGCCTCCAGGCAGAGGGTCCTGCCCTGAGCCAGCAGTGCCACAGCCCCAGGAGCAGCCGAGGTCACCAGGGATGGGCCCACGGGCACCCCGGAGCGGCTGGGTCCCCGCTCCTGCCAGCCCTGCAATCCCTGTCCCCACAGCTGAGGGGACCAGGCGCTGCCACCCTCCCCTTCTGCACCACACAGGAGCTGCGGCGTCGGGCAGCCCCGGCTGATGAAGTTGTAATTCCTGAAGTTCCTCCAAAATGAATATGGATGCACATCTGCCTCCGCTTAGGTGTAACAAATTGGGAGAGATTGTGTTAAATTGTGCCGAAACCGTGTCCACTGCCAGCATCCCAACCATCCCAGGCACGGGCGGCTGTGGCCTGCAGCTGCCGGAACCTTCCATGGGCTGGAAGAAAGAAACGCTGCAGAGTTTTAAATCCTCATCAGTTTAGTGCAGTGAGGGTCCTCTGCAGCCTCCTGCTCGTAGGGAGGACAAGCAGACCCCATTCCATGACGGGGACACGGAGCTGTCCCCAGGGGTGGCCGCAGGGACACTGAGGCACGGGAAGCTTCCCACGGCCGGGGTGTGCAGCCGAGCGTGGCTGAACCGTGAGCCCCATCACCCAGGGCCTTGCTCTACCCTCCAGATAACGCATCTAAAACATGTTTATTTCCATCCAGGCTGCTTCTCAATTTGATTATTTATCTCCCGTTTAGCCTCTGACAGATCAAAGGCTCGGCGGAGGGGAAGCGCAGCCAGGCTGCGCATGAAAATGAGCCTTGATACATAATTAATTAACATGAAACAGTTTCATTAGGAGACGGTGTTACATGGCTGTTTGTCTTAAAAATTTAAGCTGTGTAAAGAGCAGGGGGGAAAGCACACCTCCCTGCCAGCCCCTCTGCTGGTGCTGCCCATCCCAACCTGGCTCCAGCTCCCGGGAGCACTGGAGGGGCTGGAGCGTGGCCCCCTCTCCCTGAATCCTGTGCAAAGTCCCCTACCCTCCATTATTAATCTGTTTTTAATTCTATTAAGAGATAGCCAGGAGAAAGAGTATCAATTTTAGATTAACAAGGTTATTAGCACTTAATTATGTGAGGTGTCTTTGTAATTGAAAAGGAAAAGAGGAAGCACCATAAATATCCCGGCCCCCGAGCTCCTGGGGGTTTGCGTGTGGCTCTTTATTCACGAGGCTGTGGAACCATAAATATTAAATATCTGGTGAAAAAAAAATTACAAGGCAGAGAGAGGATGCCCTCTGGATATTCCGGCGCCGAATGTTCTTGCATTTACAAATATTCATTAGCTGGGATCTGCAAAGTTATTTCCACCAAGACTCGGTGAAGGAGGAAGAGAGAGAGGTTATTGAAAAAAAAAAATAGAGTCTAGAGTAAATATTATTAGTAATTTTTATCTCTGCGTGTCCCTAATTATTCCATAATTAGGGAAAGTGCACATATGCATATACAATCACTAACCTGCCAGTCTCAGGGATTCTCATTCCCAGCCCTGCTGTGGGATGGAGTCACCAGGGAAAACTCTTCTTCCCCAAAAATCCACGGGAGTGTCCGTGCCCAGGGGACCCCACTGTGCCCCCATGCCCAGGTGCTCCCTGCTGGAAGCCCGGGATGATTTAGGGAGCCGCCAGCTCTGCCGAGCACCCACGACCTGGAGCTGCTGCCAGTTAGAGAGACATTAAATGACAAATCTCAGGCTCTTTTTAATTAAAAAATAATAGAACTCAGCAGGAAACGGAGCAATAACACAACACTGCCAAAACCCACTTTGCTGGGGCTGTTAAAAAAACAGCAGCTGGGGGGAGAGGCCACATTCACCTCTGTGGGGACAGGACAGGCAGGGGGGCCGAGGGTCCCCTCGAGCAGCCCCACTCCCCTGGGCACAGGGCTCCTGGGGACAGCGCTGTCACACCCCACCAGTTAGCCTCGTAATCTAAACTAAACACATTGCCACGAGCTCATCAACAAAAATCTAATTACGCTGCACCAGGCCGGGCTTAATTGCTCGTCCTTGACACGAGCAGCGCCCGTGGAAGCCCAGGAGCCAGTGAGAGCCTGGGATTGAAATGATCCTGCTCCCTGGAAAAAGCATGAAAGGAAAACGGGGGAAAAAATATGGCTGTGCAATTAGCAGAGAAACAGCAGACAAATCAGCTGGGTAATTGCTGGGGGGAGCTCCGAGGGTCATTAGCAGGTATGGGGAATACTGCTGCAGGCTCCAGAGGGACACACAGGAGCCCAGGGACTCCAAAAAGGGGGAAAATGACTTAAAACCAGCTTTTCTCCCAGTAAAGAGAAGCTGGAGCAGATTCCGAGCCTGGCCCAGCCTCCCCCAAGCACCACGGGGCTCCTCGTTTGCTGCTCCCACTAACGAGGAAATCGGGATGCAGGAGGTGGCTGAGCCCCGCTGCCTCCCCCGCACGCTCCTCCCCGACTTATCACCAGTCACAGGATGTTTACAATAATTTTTAATTTGCGCAATTATTAATCATTTTTCTATCTGTCTCATTTGCATAATAATTACTCTGCTTGCTGTTTGCCATGACTGTGAATGACAGTGGTTTAAATTAAATTAAGATTTTAATATTCATTTTTTTGGGTTAAAGCTAATCAAAGTTGCTGCTCGATGCCAAGACCAGGGCTCTGCCCTTCCAGAAGCACTAATGAAGAGATCCAGTGCGGGTGTCACTGCTCCATCTCCATCACCCAGCTCATCCCAGAGGATCCCGCAGTGTTTTCCAGTTGCTTTGCTGCCAGAACTGCTCAGACAAGGCCACGGCTGGGACAGGGGATGTGGGATGCAGAACAAGGGCACAGGGACAAACCCAGCTCCCTTCTCCCCAGGCAGTGCACGGGGATGGGATCAGGGAGGGAGATGTTCACCACATGAGCCCCCCCCTTTCCTCACAGATATCTCCTAAAAATGAAGTGTCTGGTAATTAATAACAGATGTGTAAATCCAGAATTGTGATGAACAAAGAGGTCCCGAGGGTAGTACCTCTCAAATTTTAAAACCCCAGCCTTCAAAATCAGCTGCAAGAGCAGAACCTGATGCCATTTTCAGGTCCTAAGCACATTTTGTTTAGTACCAACATTTAAAAGTGCTTTTCCTCCTTGAGAGCAGCTTACAGTCCCAAGTGTGACACGAGCCAGCTGCTGGCATCTGTGGCTCTGCAAGAGCAGCCACTGTCACCAAGCAGGTGAAGAAGGTACCAGCATCCAGCTCTGCTCACCAGGGCAAATCCAATCATTCCACAGCAGGTTCTTCACATCTCCAGCAGCACTCAGATTAAGTGAGAGCAAAAACAAATGTGTCAAGTGGAACTGCACTTGTCGAGGCTGTAGCTGCCTCAGGTTACAGGAGGAAATGAAACAGGGCTTTGGTGACAGAAGGGGGAAGCACAACTGGAAGCATCGGTCTGGAAATGTGCTGCCACCTCCCACCCCCTTCCCCCAAACCATCTCCCTGCCCTGCAGGTGCAGCAGGGCTGGGAATGGTTCACCTGCCCTGGAAAAACCACCACAGGCAGAATTGAGTAAAAAAGGAAAGGTTTTATTTACAGGTGAACACACAAATTCCAGGGCTGCTGGGAATGTTACAAAGGGATGAAAACCAGGGAAGTCCCAAGAGTCTGGCACTCCAGAGCAGACTTTACTCCTACCCCTCCCACCCACAGCCCTCCCAACACTGGAGAATCCCTGGAAAGAGCGATCCTGCCCTGCCCCTGCCCACTGCTGCAGCCAAGGCATCTCCATGGAAACTGCTGCCTGCATTTCATCCCTGCTCCCTGGGACCTCAACAAGAACAACTGTACTTATTTCCACAAGTGCTTTCTGGCACACAGGGATCAAGGGAAGCTCTGCCTGGCCTCCAGCTCTGAGACTGACAAATCTGATCACAGGAGAAGGGCTGCCACACGTCCCCCCCGAGCGAGCCCCAGGCAGCAGCGTGGGGGAAGTGCTGAGATCAGCCCCAAATCCAGAGGGGTCTGGGGGGGACCAGCTGCTCCAAACCAGGGGGGAAGCAATTCCAGGTCTTAAGTCCTGATTCTCTACACATTTACTTCCACTAGAAATGGACCCCTGAAGAATTGCTGAGGCTCCTGAAGATCTTGCTGCCCAATGCAGCACTGCAGGTCATTCTTCCAGTGCCAGAGCATTCCCTGCTCGGTTTCCTGTTTGGACAGGGTCAGGAGAAGCTGAGTTTGAGCTTTCCTGCACGTTGGTGAAGTTCCTGCATGATCTGCATGGCAAAATAACTGCATAAACTTAACAAAAGTTCAGAAGTTCAACTTAACCTGAGTTCTGGAGCAGTCTGACCCACTGCACGAGGGGAACCCTCCCAAGCCCAAGTGTTCAGCAGATTTTCACCTGAGATTTAGGACACCTGAAGACTTGGGAACCACCCTCAGAGGTCAAAGCATTTGGCATGGAACAGAAGTTTGTTAGAAAACAAACAAGAAGAGGTGTTCTCCCCAGAGAGCTGGAGGCTCTGGCTGACAGGGAGGTCCAGGGGGCTGCTGAATGCCGAGGACAGGGCTTGTTCCAGGGAGAGCAGGCCATTCCTCAGGGCTCTGTGGGTGGTGCCTGTGGGTCCCTGCAGGAGCTCTCCCTACATGTCCTCGACGCTCCACTTGTAGGCGAGCTCCTGCACCGCCTTCTTGTTGGCAATGCGGGCAAAGCGCTGCTGCTCGAACCCGTTGGACCTGCAAAGGAACACCCAGGTGACAGGAGCTGCTGGGCACAAGCTTTACAAATTTTCCACTAATTCGCTCTGGCTCAGTTTCCACCTGGACCTGTGGTTATCAAGAGCTGATGCCTTTGAAGTTCCTCACCTCCCCTTGTCCCATCTGTCCCATCATCCATTTGTAACTCAATCCAACCAACATTCCAACTGCCAGCAACCTCACTCATCCCAAAACTGGAAACCTTTACACTGGGAACTCCCTGAAACAAAACTCCTTTACTTTTACTGTTATTCCAACAAGAACAAGTACCTGTCCACACCGTCCCAGCGATGCCCAGGCCAGATGTTAAACCTGTTGAGTGGAGGTGCTGGTCCCTTGTACCTGGGTTTTTCTGGAACACAAAGAGCAGAACAGCTGTTCTCAGCCAAGTGGTCACATCCTCACCCACCCAGGAGGTGTCTGCACCTGGGTCTGGTGGGTACAGGTAGAGAGCACAGGCTCCTGACAGCCAGCTACAGCTCCCAAAGGCTCACTATGACAAACTGCTGAGTTTTCAGTCACCAGGCCCTGCTCTCCCACCAACAGCTCATGTAACTGTTCCTGGTAACAAGCCAGCAACTCCAGAGAGTCCAGAAGTCCCAGGACTCAGCTGCTCCAGCAGCCTTTGGCTATTTACTGACGCCTTAAAGCACACACAGGGGTATTCCAGAGCCAAACCTTTCTCCTTGTTCTCCTTGGCCTTCCTTTTCTTGATGAGAGCAGCCATGGGGTCTCCTTCCCTCTCCTGTTCCCTCAGCATTCGATCCAGGTCCTGGTCATCGATGTAACGGGCCAAGGGCTTCTGCATCTCCTTGACTGCATCCTCCACGTTCTGCTGCTGCTGCCTCTCCTGTGCCAGCCTGGAAAACACACAGTGTCACCCAAACCCAAGCCATCACTCCTTGGGACTTGTTCAGTGTGCAGGATGGGTCACCAAACTCCCACTGCCTGGGCAGCATTCCCAAAGCACCTGCAGCAAAGGAAGGGGTTTCCAGACACATGGAAAATGTGCTGGTCCCAGGCTCAACCTCAGAATGAAGTGAAATGCAACACCAGTCTGGCAGCAGATCTGAACTAAAACCAGGAGATGGGAGGCCCAAGGGTTGTGCTCAGGAGTCCCTCACTCACCCTTTTCCCCACTTGGCATATTGCTCTTCTCTCTTGGACTCTGCCTCAGCCTTCAGCCTCTGCTCCAGCTGCTCCTGGGCCAGGTTCCTCTTGCGGCCGGACTTGTCTCGGTACACGGTCTGAGCGTTCCGGGATTCCTCTGGCAGGGACAGATGCCTCAAGTCACACATTTTGGAACATTTTATCACCTCCAGACAATGGACTGGACTGGATTTGGACAAAGTCCGAAAAAGACTTTAACTGTGACTTCTCTTTTGTTTGTCCTAACCTCCCAAAGAGCCTGTCACCCAAAGCCGGGCAGGATCTCAGCTCCTGCTTTTCTCAGCTGCCCCACACAGACCCTGAGCTCTCTGATTATCCCTCAGCTCCTTCAGATTTGCAGAGGAAAAGCATTTCACACTCCCTGTCATTTCCCTGGCATTGCTCTTAAATCCCCACACAGAACAGTGGCCCTGGCCAAGGCTTCCAGCAGCATGTCCAGCTGCAGCTCCACAGGGACGCTCCACACCAGCATCCCTGTGCCGGGGCCTGAGCGAGCAGAGGAGGAGAAGGGGAGCTGGGGCTGGGGCCATGTTCCACTCTCACCTTCCAGGTGCTTGGTGCTCCTCTCGTGCTTCCGGAGCTCCTGCTTCTCCCTCTGCAGCACATCGGCCGACACCAGGCCAGCTCTGACCCCGTATGCCATCGTGTCAGCCTGGAAATCACACAGATCCCACAGCTACAGCCGGCTGTCAGGGGCACAGCCAGGGAACGCAGAACGAGGGTGACCCAAACCACAGGGACAGCCCTGTTAGAGCCACTTGTACAAAAACTTCCCCAGTTTGTCAATCACTTGACTTCCACAGCTGGAAGGGAAAGAGACAACCTTTACCTTCTTGGGAGAGCCCTTGGCATCCCGGCGGTGTGGGGAGCGCTCTGGGGGACTCCGTGACCTGTGCTGGTCCTTCTGGGCAGGGGAAGCCCGTCCTGGAGGAGACAAATCAGAGAGTGAGGATTTGCTGATTCCTCCGAGATGATCACACTCAGGGAATCACTACGGGCACAGCCCAGGCTGCAGGTTGGGTAAACTCTCGCCCAGCTGTGCACGTGTACAACGACAAGAGCCACCTGTGGCTACAGGGACAGACACCTGCCACTGCCAGCTGTGCCAGCAGAGCACCAGCCCACAGCACTCACCTGTGGCAGTGTGGATCCCAGGGAGCCCCCAGGACACGGGGGACACAGCGTGTGACACTCACCTTTCGTTCGGCTCCTTTTCCCACTTGGGGACCCCGGCTTCTCTCTCCGAGGAGACAAATCCTGACACTGCCGCCGGGGAGGTGACAGGTCTGGTGTGTCATGGCGCTGTCTCCTGGGAGGTGACAGGTCTGGTGTGTCATGACGCTGTCTCCTGGGAGGTGACAGGTCTGGTGTGTCATGGCGCTGTCTCCTGGGAGGTGACAGGTCAGGGGTGTCATGACGCCTTTTCCTGGGAGGTGAGGGGTCAGGGGTGTCATGGCGCTGTCTCCTGGGAGGTGACAGGTCAGGGGTGTCATGGCGCTGTCGCCTGGGAGGTGACAGGTCTGGGGTGTCACGGCGCTGTCTCCTGGGAGGGGACAGGTCAGGGGTGTCATGGCGCTGTCGCCTGGGAGGTGACAGGTCTGGGGTGTCACGGCGCTGTCTCCTGGGAGGGGACAGGTCAGGGGTGTCATGGCGCTGTCGCCTGGGAGGTGACAGGTCTGGGGTGTCACGGCGCTGTCTCCTGGGAGGGGACAGGTCAGGGGTGTCATGGCGCTGTCGCCTGGGAGGTGACAGGTCTGGGGTGTCACGGCGCTGTCTCCTGGGAGGGGACAGGTCAGGGGTGTCATGGCGCTGTCGCCTGGGAGGTGACAGGTCTGGGGTGTCACGGCGCTGTCTCCTGGGAGGGGACAGGTCAGGGGTGTCATGGCGCTGTCGCCTGGGAGGTGACAGGTCTGGGGTGTCACGGCGCTGTCTCCTGGGAGGGGACAGGTCAGGGGTGTCATGGCGCTGTCGCCTGGGAGGTGACAGGTCTGGGGTGTCACGGCGCTGTCTCCTGGGAGGGGACAGGTCAGGGGTGTCATGGCGCTGTCGCCTGGGAGGTGACAGGTCTGGGGTGTCACGGCGCTGTCTCCTGGGAGGGGACAGGTCAGGGGTGTCATGGCGCTGTCGCCTGGGAGGTGACAGGTCTGGGGTGTCACGGCGCTGTCTCCTGGGAGGGGACAGGTCAGGGGTGTCATGGCGCTGTCGCCTGGGAGGTGACAGGTCTGGGGTGTCACGGCGCTGTCTCCTGGGAGGGGACAGGTCAGGGGTGTCATGGCGCTGTCGCCTGGGAGGTGACAGGTCTGGGGTGTCACGGCGCTGTCTCCTGGGAGGGGACAGGTCAGGGGTGTCATGACGCCTTTGCCTGGGAGGTGAGGGGTCAGGGGTGTCGTGGCGCTGCCGTCTCGGAGGAGAGAGCTCCAAGGAGCCGTTGTGTTTCCCTGCTGGGGGCGAGGGCTCTGGGGAGTCGTGGCGCCGCCGCCTGCGAGGGCAGAGAAGGTGACAGAGAAGGTGACAATGAGGTTGTTTGTCTGGAAGCAAAGCAGGACCTGCAGAGCTGGGAAGTGGGCCAAGGCTGGGAACAGCTTTGTGAACGAGGATTCGTTTGGATTCTGCACCCCAGCCTTCCTAGGGCAGATCCCAGAAGCCCCCCAAGGCAGCCTGGATCCCAGCACAGCTGGAATATTAACGTCTCCACCATGGCCATCATTCAAACTGACAGGGACCATCACCCCAATCTCCCTGGCAGTGTCACAAACACCCAGAGCTGCCAGTCCCCTGCCTCAGGCAGGGGTTATCCAGCAGGGAAAGGTATCCAGCAATGCCCACATTTCCCAGCAGAGCAGCTGGAAGGCACAGAACCAGTCGGTGAAAACCAGGGTGAACTGAGAGCAGAATTCCTGCTTGGAGCCCCCATACCTGGAGCCAGACTTGGCAGGTCCTGAAACATCCGAACTCTGCGAGTCCTCATCTGGAGCAAAGCAATTGGAATCACCATTATTGGGGCTCTGCCCAGCTCAGCAGCCCTCCAGCACCTCAAGGATCATTATCCTTGAGATAATAAGGATATTATCATATCCTTATAATAAGGGGAGGGTGGAAGGGGCTGCTTTCACCTCCTAGAAGCTTCCATTTGGAGTTTGTTCGGAATTCCTCCATGAGCTTCACCTCATCGGGGCGCTCATCAATGAACTCTGCCACCTGCAAACAGCACAGGAGCACCAGGGGCTCGCAAAAAGGCAGAATTCCTGCTCCTGACACAGCCACGCAAGCCCAGCAGCCCCAGTCCCTGGGCCTTGCTCCAGCAGAGCCCCTGGCTGGCCCCTGCTATGTGAAGAACGAGCTGCTTTGATCCGCAGGGAGCTCCCTCGTCCCTCCAGAGCTCCGAGCAGGAATCTCACCCATCCCAGAGGCAGAATGCACCAAACACGGGGCGGGGAGAGGCGCTTCAGCAAGTTCTTCCCAAAGGGAAACACGAGGTGGCCGTAAGAACAGACTGAGGGTGAAACCGCGTGTGACAGGACTCCCCGCTCACCACAGGCATGTCCCCTTCGTCGTCCTCCTCCTCCTTCTCCGGGGCGGCGGCGATGCTGTTCCAGCTCACATCGTCATCCACGATCCGCATGCTGGGGCGGGGAGAGGCGCTGCGGTCAGGACCCGCCGGAACGGGGGGGATCTGCGGGGGGGAGCCCTGGGGAGCGTCCCGGCCCCGGGGGGGCTCGGAAGGAGGGTCTGGAGAGGGGAGTGAGCTCGCGGGGGTTCCCAAACCAGGGCAGGGCACAGGGCCGCTCCTGCTGCCGCCTTCCCCCGCCACTCACCCGGCTCTGCCGGTGCCGCCCGGCGGCTTCTTCCTGCGGCGGCGGCGGGGCTGGGCGGGCTCGGCGGGGCCGCTCAGGTACCGCCGCAGGTACTCGGCCTTCGACACCCCCGGCGCCGCCATCGCGCTCTGACGCAAAACTCCGGCGCCGGCCGGAAGGGGCGGGGCCTGGCCCCGAGTGTCTGATGAGGTGGGCGTGGTCATTGCCATAAATGGAGTTCCACCGATATATGGGCGTGGTCATTACCATAAATGGGGCTCTTGTATCGGGAAATGGGCGTGGCCATACACGGAATCACCATAAATGGTGCTATGGGCGGGGCCACACGGCGGCAGCGGTTATGAATGAAGCCAACAGCGGGACACCAATTAATCACTTTATTGATCAGCTTTATTGGAGAGTCAGCACTACTGCCACGCCCTGCCCCAACACATCAGCACCGCACACAACATCTCCCCCGGGGACGCCCGAGGCCCAGCCCCGCTGCCCGCGGGTGACAACAGCTCCCCTGGCCCCGGGAAGGGCAGGAGAGTCCTGGCCCCACACAAGTGCTGGTCCCTGGAGCAGCTGGGGCAGGGGTGGGAGGGCTGGGCTCGTCCCTGCTATCGGCCCGAGGTTGCCTCTGGCTCGTAGCCCTCTGTTTTCATGTCGTTCAGGCCCAGCTCTTCGTTCTGCTCAAAGGTGCGCTCGTAGCGCTGCACGCTCAGCTCCGGGTCCTCTTCTGGGGCGTACACGTTCTGTGGGGACAGGGGGAAAGCTCCTGCACTCCCTTCTGCCCACAGGGCACTGGTGCAGGCTGCGAGCCCTGCAGCCACCCATGAGCAGGGGTCTCAGCAACCTGCCGTGCCCAGAGCTCCAACACGGGCCAGGGAAATGAAACCCCCCAGACAGCTCAGGGAGCCCACGCCGAGGGCAGAGGCTGCACCTGAAGGTAACTGTTGCCTGCAGGGTCATCCATGATGAAGTGAGCCTGGGCCTTCCCCTCGATGATCTGCAGGAACAGAGCACATCCAGCCATTAAAGCTCTTCCTAATCCTTCAGCACTTCTGGCACCAGTGCAGAGCACGGAAAACCCAGAGGAAACTCACTTCCTGCAGCTTCCCAATGAACTCCTGCAGCTTCCCCGTCCTGCTGGGCGTGGAGCTGTCTCCCAGAGTGAAGGGGTTCTTCTCCACCTGCAAGGCGGGAGAGGCAGCAGTGAGGCAGCCAGCCCCCCAGCCAGCCCCAGGAGGGACAGGGAGGGGGCTGAGCCCCCCAGGCTGGCCCAGGACCACTCACCAGGTCACGGATGTCCTTCAGCAGCCCCTCCAGCGTGGTGAATTTCCCCCCCAGCGCTCCCATGCCCAGCTCAAACTCCAGCTCGGGGATCTCCACGCTGCACGTCTCTGACTGCAAAGGTCAGCACTCTGTGAGCCCCATGGAGGGAGAGCTGGGGCCCCCAGACTCCCCACACCCCACAGGAGGGCAGGGCAGGCATCCCAGGGCGCTGCACCTTCAGGATATCCCTGGTCATGTCGGAAGGATCCGTAATCCGGAGGGTGATCCTGGTGCCCTGCGGTTCGATGGCTCCTCCAGACTTCACCTGGGAACAGCTGGCAGTGAGCTCCACAGGGCTTGTCCCAGCAGCCCAGAGGCCACTCCAAACCTGGGACAGTGGCCTCAGCACCCAGCTTAAAGCCCCTCCTGACAAAGCCCCAAATCCGGTTTGCCTCCCACACCAGCCCCACTGGGAAGCGGCGCTCAGGGACAAAGGCACAGAACACCACTCCCTGCCCCTGCCTCTTTCCAGCTCACCTCATTGGTCCTGTGCCCACAGGAGTCACAGTTAGTGGCCATGATGATCACCTCCTTAAAGTGTGGGATTTCTGGAGCAGGGAGTCAAGGGAAACATCAAAGCAGCAACCAAGGGAAGGCAGGGCCCCCCTGGGAGCTGTGAGCAGCCTGAGACAGCTCTGCACCCCAGCAGGCCCCGGCTGAGAGATTCAGGCCTGTGGTGCAGCAGGGAGAGCCCAGGGCCATGCAGTGCCCCTCACCCCCAGCCCGTGCCCACCCTCGAAGGATACGCACTAACTTCATGTTGGTGCTGGCTGGGGCGTTGCACTCGGGACAGTTGGTGTTGAACTGCAGCACCTGGGGGAGGGAAAGGGCAGCCAGAATGTCCCAGCCAGCCCAGGGCAGCTGTCCTGAGCGTCCCTCAGCTCTGCAGCACCACCCACCTCGTCCCTCAGGTCATCAGCAGCGTCCGGCGGCTTCGCATCCACCTCCTGTCCCTGCAAGGGAAGGGTTAACTGCTGCTCCCTGGTCTGGGGTGCCCTGGGGAACCTGGGGCTGACCCTGTCACCTCCAGTCCCAGCATGGCACACTGCTGGGGGCTCCTCCTGTAGTGAGTGACCACGAGGGCCTCGTCCCTCTGCGGTGCCTGGGGGTTCTCCACAAAGCTGTTCCCGGAGGGATCATCGAGGATCTGCAGGACAAGAGGGCCTGAGGGAGCCGTCCTGCAGCCCTCATCCAGCCACGGCTGCCCTCCTGTGAGCACTCACAAAGGTGAAGGGAGAACTGACTTCCTTCAGCTGCCTCAGTTTACCAATGAACTCGTCTATTTTCCTTGCCACCTCTTGGTCTGTCGCCTGGAAGAGGACACAGAATCACGGAATCCTTTAAAATGGAAAAGACCCCCAAGATGGGATTCAGCTGCGGCAGGGGCAGCCCAGAGCTGCTGACAAAGGTGACCACAGCACACCACCAGAGCCCCAGCGCTCTCCCCACCACCGGGCAGAAGATGGACATCCCAAGCATTTCCATCCCTTCCCAGCCCCTTACCCTGCGGGTGGGCTGGTCCTGCTCCAGGCCAGCCACGGCTCTGTCAATGATCCCCTCAATGGTGGTGAGCACTTGGGAAGGGAAGGAGACAGAGGTGATGACACCATTAACATATCCAGGGAGCACCCCCAGAACTGCTCCTGTTTACCCACCTCCCTTCTGGCTGAAGGCAGGGATCTCAAAGTCCAGCTCTGGAATTCGAGCTGAGGCACAGTCGGTCTTCACCACCTCCCTGTTCATGTCCTGCACACACAGCCAGGGAGCAGCCTGAGGATCCCCAAGAGACCCAGGGGCTCCCCACACACTGGGATCACAGAGAGGTGCTGGCCCCAGCCCCCTTTCCTTTCGGGATGTGCAGGTTTTGGGAGCAGAGCGGGGAGGCTCAGCGCACCTGGCGGGAGGTGACAGCCAGGGAGTAGCGCACGCCCTGCTCCTGGATCCTGCCCGCTGACTGGATCTCCGTGTTGGACCAGGAGCAGCTGTCGCAGGAGAAGGAGCTGACGATGATCTCTTTGAAGAAGGGGATCCTGGTGAGCAGGAGCCGCGTCACGCCCTGCGGCAGCGAGGGGCCTCGTGGGAACCCGAGTGCTGGGGGCTCCCATCACCTCCCAACACGGGCATGTCCTGCCCGCAGCCTGCTCTCACCCCCCAGCAGCTCCTGGAAACGCCCTCCCGACCCCACCAGTGCCCCCTGCTCTGAGACCAGCTGTGGCCCCCGGCAGCTTCCTCCATCACCTCCAGACCTCTGGAACCCCCCACCGACCCCTGCCCGCTCCTGGAGCCACTGGAGACCGCTGTGTCCTGAGCCCGACCCACACCGGGGCGCGTCCCCTGACCCCACAGGCCCCTCCTTGGCTCCCGCACTCCCCTGTGCCCACCCTGAGCCCCGCACTCCCCTGTGCCCACCCTGACCCCCGCACTCCCCTGTGCCCACCCTGACCCCCGCACTCCCCTGTGCCCACCCCGACCCCCGCCCCCCCCCCCCCCCACCCACCCCC